GGGGGGCCCCGCGGGTGGTGGTGGCGGTACTTGCAGCCCGACGTCTTGCAGGGGCGGCTTTTCCAGTAGTACCGGCACACCCCTGGGGGGGGCTGGGTGTTGTCGTAGTACTTCCAGCGCTTGCGCGACGTGGGCCCACTCCCCTTCCCCGAGCGAGACTTCCCTCGGGACTTCCCTCGGCCGCCCTGTGGCTCTTTCCCCCGCCCACGCCCCTTTCCTCCTTTCGGGGGTGTGCCGGGCCTCTTCTCCTTCCCGGTGGGGCGGCCCTGTGGGGGTGAAGTCCCACGTCGGAGACCCAGGACGAAGTCCTGCAGGGTGAGGGTCGTCTGGGGTTCGGTCTCGCGGTCCCCCTCGGGGTTCCGCTCGATGTACCTGGCCCACGCTTCCGCTCCCCTCTCGGTCCGCCGTATCCGCTCCACCTCGGCCAGGAGCCAATTCCTCTTGTGGCAGGGCTCGCCGCAGCTACCGCAGCTATCCCTCCTCCCCGGGTGGTTGGGGCCGCTCTGGCACTTCGGGCACCGCCACGCCCTTACCTTGGTCAGGAAGTGCGCGGAGCAGTTCTCGCAGCGACTCCGACGGTCCCCCACCTTCTTCCTGCAGCCGAGGCATAGCCAGAGGCCACCCGGCTGGGCAGGAGGGCGGGGCCCACGCGGCTCTGCCGTGGGAGGCTCGGCCCTTCTGGGGCTGCGGGACCTAGGGGGCGGCGAATCCCGCGTGCGGAGCCCAGGCTCCTCCCCCCCGGTCCGCTTCCACGGGGGGCTGGGGCTCCTCTTGCGGGGGCCAAGCGAGACTTCCTGCCGGACGGAGCCCCTGGGGGTGGACACGCGCCGCACGCCCGCGCGGTCCGTTGCCGGCGGCGGGCGGGGTCCAACTTTGCTCCCCGACCCTCCTCGCCGGCGCATGGAGCGCTCACGAGGGGCGCGACTCTCCACCCTTCCCCTTCGGTCTGGTCCCTCTGGGTATGCCCGCCGCCCCGCGCTCCGGGGGCGCGTGTGCTCTTCCGGTCGAGAGCCCCGTGAAGCGCGCGCTCCTCGGCCCGGGTCGCGGCGGGGGCTGACGGGCGAGCGACGGCGGGGCCCCTTCATCCGCCGTGGGGACTCGGAGGCCCCAGCGTTCCTCCGGCTCGGGCGGCTGTCCCGGGGGGCCCTGCTCCCTCCCCTCCCGCCGCTCGCGCTTTCCCCTCTGCGAGCCTCGGCGGTGTCCTCATTTCCCCTGCTTCTCCGGCGCTCCGTGGGGGGGCGTGGGGCGAGGCTTTCGGCGGCTGGTTTCCCATCCCCGGCCTGCCTGCTCCGGCCACTGGCGGCCTTTTCGCGCTCGCTCTCCGACGATCCGCCCTGTGGGGACATCTCTTCTTCCTCCTCACACTTGGCCCCCCCCTTCTCTCCCTTCGGCCTCTTTCCGAAAGTGGGGGCCCCTTTGGTCGTTATTCCTCCATTCTCGAAGGTGGAGTCCGGCGGAGGGTAGACCGTGCCCCTCTTAATCTCACTCAGGAACGCGTCGATCAGCCGCTGGGGGTACTTCCGCCTGTTCCCCCACTCCGCATCCTCCCACCCCGCTCCGACGCTCCGGGCGTAGCGGTACCATTGGGTGCGGATCTGGGCGCCGTGCTTCTCGTCCTTCCCCAGGAGGTCCAGCATGTCCTGGCCCCGTGCCTCCTCCAGCGCCTGTGTGGCTCGGTTGAACGCGTCCAGGTGCGCCGGGGGCCCCCTCCCCTCGGTCTCCCTCCGCGGTGGCGGGTCTGGTCCCTTCCCCCCGGTCTCGCCGCTTAGGGCGTCCGTGGCGGCCCCGGGCGATGCCCCGCCGATGCCGCCTTCCTCCCTCTGGAGTTGAGGGTCCGAAGGCCCTTCACCCCCCCTTGCGGGTTTGGGTGGGTGGGGAATTTCGCCGACGGCATCTGGGGCCGGGGGCGCCTCTGCTTGGCGCGGGCGGGGCCACGCGTCCCGGTAGCGGATCCAGGTGAAGGCCTCCGGCGCGGGCCCCAGTGCGAGGGCGTGCCCCTGGTTGAGGAACAGCCAGGCGTCGGGGGAGTCGCCGCTCGCGCGGCTGGGGATCCGCGTCTCGCGGAGGTAGGCGTCCTGGAGCGTGCACACGCGGAGGTCGACGCTGGTGAGGGCGGGGCCTCCCAGTAAGGGAAACTCTCGGCAGTCTCTTCCCGAATGCGGGACGGCGGCCCCCGCCCGGAGTGCGTCGTCCAGGGGCGAACTGGAGGCCGGTGCGTCGTCCACGGCCGCCTCCAGCAGCTCCGCCCGGTAGCGGGTGGCCAGGGCGTGCACTTCCTCCCGACGAGGGGGGGCGCCGTGCTGCCGCCACAGCGAGGAGGCGGCGGTGCTCAGGAGCATGCACTGCCCTCCCTCCGGTTCGCCTTCCTGCAGCCCCAGCTTCTCCCGCGTGAGATGGGCATGGGGCCCCGTGGGGTGGAGGTGCTGGCCGAAGTCGAGCGTGCCCCAAGCCGCGCGGCGCGGGCAGGTAATGCACGCCAGCACCCCCGGGGCGGGCGCCTGCGTGGCGCTCTGCTCGGGCTCCCCCCTCCCCGTAGTGGGGGGGTCCCCCGGGGGTGTCTCCGTGCCCCGGTTGGCGTTCTGCCCGCCGCGGGTCTTCGGGCGGGGCTTCGGTCCCTTCCGGAGTGCAGCCATGCGGGCATCCACCGCTGCGGGCGTCACGAGGGGGAGCTCGTGGAACCCTCCGAAGCGGAAGAAGAGCAACCTGGTCTCCATGGGGATGCCCTTCAGATCATTGATCTTCTGGTGGGCGCCCCGGCAGCCGCTCCCCCGCCAGCGCGTGCTGTGGCAATTGAAGGGAATGCAAATCCTCTTGCCCTGCGGGTTCTTAGGGACACCCGCCAGGGCCGCCTTATGCTCCTCCGCCTCCAGGGCCGTGCCGATGGGGCACTGCGGGTTGTCGTCCTGGCCGGCGCGCCCCGCCGGGGGCGGGGGTGGCGCCTTTGCTCTGCTCGTCCGCGAGAGGGCAGACAGGGCGGACCGTTGCTCCCAAGACTTACGGGGCACCACCCGGGCTCGAAAGAACCCGTTGGGGTGGTCCAGCTGGAAGGAGAGGGGCATCTGGCATCGCGGCTGGCCTCCCGGCCCCTCCAAGAGGTGGAGCCTGAACTCCTCCTCGGTGGGGTTCTGGTTTCTGAGGTCGCGGAGGGCCCGCTGGACGATCAGTCGGATGCCGTCCCGCCAGTCCCAGTGGAGCTCCTCCCAGATCGCGAAGAGGTCCCCCTCCGTCCACTGGTTGGGGTCATCGAGGTTGAGCTGCACCAGCCTCCTCAAGGCGTCCCGTCTCTCCCTCTCGTGGTCTTGGCCGTAGAACAGGCAGAAGGTGGTGATGCTCCGGTGGGCCTGGTCGGCCCAGACGGCGAGGATCTTGGTCCAGGCGGGGCGCTTCTCCATGTAGGCGGGGTCCGAGTGCGGGATGAACCGTTCGAACTCCTCCCGAGTGGTCCGCGGGAAGTCCGATGCTCCCAGGGACCACTTGGCCATCCGTTCCAGGTCGCGGCCCCCCCAGAAGCCCCCCGCGATGGCGTAGGCAATCCGGTTCACGACCAGGACGGGGCAGCCTCCCTCGTGCATGATCATCCAGCGTCCGTCTCCTCCCCTCCGGGCTGCGTCGCATAGCTCCCTTCCGACGAGGCCCGGGCAAAGGGCGACGTAGAAGGCGTTGAACCCCCGGGCGGTGTAGACCGCCAGCCGGCACTCCGTCTTGAGGTAGCCCAGGGAGCCCTCCACGTTCTTGGAGTCGTCGGCCTCCATGCGCTGGGAGAGGTTGAGGTGCTGAACCAAGAGGCGGGTGTTCGGGTCAGTGAAATCCCCGCCTGCCCTTCCCCCCCTGCCCCGGCGCGTCCTGTGGCGCCCCTTGGTGGGGCGATCCCATGAATGGCATCCCACTGCGCAGCGGGCGGGAGGGGGTTCGAGCCGCCGGACGGCGCGGGGCGCGTGTCACGGTATTCCCCCTCGGGGAGGCTGGTGAAGATCCCCTCCATGACGCCCGGAGGTTGGAGGGCCTGCGCCGGCGAGGGCGGGGGGGCCCCCCCTGCTGGGGTAGGCCCCATCCTGCCCCTTCTGGAGCAGGCGCTTCTCGCGGACGTACCGCAAGAGCTTGCCGAGGGCGGCCTGCTCCCCCCGCTCCAGCGAGGCGGGGTTGCGGAGGGCGGTCGCCTCCAACTCCTCCGCGCACGGTGTGACCAACGCCAGGCAGGTGTCCGGGTCCTCGCCGTAGTAGTCCTGGGCCGCCTCAAGCGCGGCCTCCACTCCAACGCCGTCCTGGATGGCGGAGAGGAGGGCCTCGAGGGGCCAGACCACCGCCGAGGGCTCCCCCGACGGGTCGCGGGAGGCGCCTGTGGAGGGGGTCCCTCCCTCACGCGCCGGAGGGCACGGTGAGCTTTCCCGGCGGGTGTTCCTCCCCCGTGGGGGGTACTCTTCCCCGCCCGAGGATTGGCCGGGCTCCTCGCCCATCCGCCGGGCACTCCGATGGCGGCATCGGTCCAGCTCCCGGGAGTTCAGCAGCAATACTACCTCCTGGACCCCGCCTGCCCCTCCGGAGGGGGTCTTCCCTTCCTCTGTCAGGGCGCTCCATTCCGGTTTAGTCGCTTCGACGAACCAGGCAGGGATCCCTCCCGGGGGGGGAAGGGCCTGTCCCGGGCGACGGATCTGACCGATCGGGACGGAGTAGCGAAGACCGAGGGCGGCGAGGTGGACCACCGCCTCACCCGGAGGGTGGCCTGCTGGCGGCCCCCCCCCTTCCCCCCGGAAGACAAGATAGCGCTCGGCCGGGGGCTGTTTCCCACACCCCCGAAGGGCGTCCTCCTCGCGGCGAATGTGGCCCAGGAAGTGGCGGCCAACCGCATCGCGCGGGTGGGTGATGGGAGGCAGCGGGGTTAGAGGGCCCGGAGGAGGGCCCTTCGAGGAGGCTGGCAGCCCCTCTCCCGGCCGCCCCTGGGGGGGGCCGGCGGACTGCGCCGCACGGGGGGCGCAGAGGAGCCCCCCCTCCACCTGCGGGGCCCCGATCACGTCGCACGAGGGGGGGCACGCGAAGGCGCAGAGGAGGTGCTGGCGGGCAAGCCGGTACATGCGCTTGTGCCGAGCGCATAGGGGGGCCAGGGCGCGCCCGCCCAGTCGCTCCCATCCGGCAATGTCCGACTGGGGCTCGTCCTCGACCAGAAGGAGGGTGGACCCTTCGTCCGGGGGCTCCGGGCACGGGGCGCGGAGGCCGAGGGTGCCCAGGGTGCTTCCGGGTTGGCGCCAGCCCAAGCGGTCCCCACCACACGTCCCGATGGTGGGCCCCTCGCTCTCCGACTCGAGCTGGCGATCCCGGGGCCTCCCCGTTCCGGCTGCCGCCCTCCTTTCGCGACAGCACCACGCCCCCAGTAGGTCTATCCCGATGGCTCGGGACATGGGGCGGAGGAGTCGGTGGGCGCCGCCAAGGGCGCGGCCGATGAGGCAGGCGAGGCCCAGGAGGAAGCCTTGATAGGGAAGAGCCTTCTCCAGGTTCAGGACGAGCCCCTCCTCCACGCCGGTGTAGTGGTAGCTGACCGCCACAATGTCTGGGGGGATCACCGCTTCCCACTCCCGCGCCAGGTAAGAACGGCGCGCTCCCGAGCGTTCTCCAGCCGCTGACGGAGGGAGGGATCCGCACAGTGCAGCACGGCACCGTAGAGGTACACCTGCCCTCCCTTCCGCGTCGCGGGCAGCGTGGAGCCCGGTTTTCGCTGCATCCGGACCATTCCCTCCTCGATGATGGCGAGCAGCTCACGCGGGCGGCGGCTGGAGTGCCGCCCGCGGGCCCGGATCCAGCCCTGGAAGAACTTGTCGGGCGTGGTCCCGCCCGAGGCGGGCCCTCCCCGCACCAGCCTCGAGTCCTTCAAGGGGTGCGGGTGTTCGCTCCTGCGCAGAGGGCCCCTGCCCCGTGAGAGTAGGGCCAGGGCATAGGCCAGGAGGGCGAGGAGGTCCAAGGCCACCAGGGCGGAGAGGAGGTAGAAGAAGACCAGGAGGTACTGGAGCCAGTGGGGGAACCCCTTCCAGCGGGCGCCCCCGAACATCATCAGCCCTAACCATGCCCCTCCTTGCAAGAGGCCGTCCAGGAGGTGGTTCGGCCATCCCGGGAACGGGTCCTCTCCAGGGGGTTCGCCAGGTGCCCCGGCGCGCCGGCGCCGGCCGTGCGCCTCCGGGACTCGGCGGGGCGCCCAGGCTGAGAGATGTGCGTCCAGCTGGGAGAGGGTCCGCCGGATACTCCAGGAATGATCATCTGGAGCCCTCCCCTCCGCCAGCTGGGAGAGGGTCCGCTGGATACTCCAGGAATGATCATCTGGAGTCCTCCCCTCCGTCCGATTGCCCCCCTCCCCCCCTCCTCCAGCCGGGAACTCCGACGAGGAAGGTGCGGGGGGAAAGTCTTCCACGGGCGAGGCCGCGGGGATGTGCCCAGCAGGGGGGGGCGCGATGTAGCCCACAGGCTCCACGCAGACATCCCCCTCTACCTGCTCTGCGGCGGGGTCGGCGCCGTCGGCGGGGACGAAGTCCACGGCCCCCACCGCCCCAACGGCAGCCCCAATGGCCGCTCCAGCCACGGGAGCCGTGCGCCCCCCCGGAGGCAGGGCGCCCAGCTCGGCCGCGGCGAGCAATAGCAAACAGGCGGGGTGGGATCCCCCCCGCTCCCTCATGATGAGATTAGGGGCCAGGGCCCCCTCCCGTAAAAGCACAGCTCGAAGCACAGACGGCTGCGGAAGAGGGGAAAGGGAAAAAGGGGGGAGGGAGCCAGAGCACTGCGGCCTCGGGGAGAATAAAACCGTTTAGGCCTAGCCAAACGAGACCATGCAATCACTGTAGCACTCCCGCGACAACTGCGGCACGAATACCGGCAACAAAGCCAACTGCAGCTGCTCCGCAGCCTGACTTGTCTGCGGGGGCGAGGGCCAGACTGCGCCGCGGGCGATGCACTTCTGTCGCCCCAACTCATCAAAGACCCAAGCATACGCAGCCCTCGATAAGTCGGATGTCGCGTGAGGCATGCACGACCCATCTCCCGCCTGATACAGCCCCTCACTGCTAAACTGACTCCGCCCCACCTCCTGCCTTTCCTCATCGTGCAAAACTGGTGCGCGATCATCGCCGGGGCTGGGCCAGTTCGAAATGGGATGCTCCATCATGAGACTGGTGTGCAGTAGATCTCCGCTGGCAGCGGCTTCGCGACAGAACTGAGCAGAAACTTCCGCCGCCTCGCGCGCCGCAACCACGCCCTGGCGCTGGCGCTGGAAGAGGCGGCGCCCGACCGAGTCGGGTCGCCGGCACAACGGGCAAAGTCCTAGGCAGAGGTGTCCTCAGGCTCTCGCACGATCCTCAATCCACAAACACTTGCAGAAAACGGTCGTCACCAAGTATTTGCCCTGGGCACTCAGCCCTATTCCCTTGGCGCGCGGGTTGACCAGGCGCCGAATGGGTCCCACGCAAACTCGAGCCCCTGAGGGCCCCCCGCGTTTCGCGGCCAGGGCCCTCTCGCGGCGTCGTTGGACAACCCGTCTCCAAAAGAAAACTGACCATGAAGGGGGCGGTGCACACTAAACTCTGATCAACAACCTTGTCATCAATCCAGTCCAGCGGCGACTCCGCCTTCCAGCCTATGCGGCCTAGCGACAAATGCACCCTGCTGGTTGGTTCCCTGGAGTTCCCCCAGCTGAGTCCTTCCCTGTTGGCCCCCCTCCACATCGATCGCAGCTTCTTGAGCGCAGGCGCGACCATGCTGCTCCAAAGCGGGTCTCCTACAAGGGCAACCTTGGCACGCATGGAAACGCCGGCGTGCCTCGGGGTTTGGAAGGACAACAAAACGCTGCGCGCTCGCTTAAGTTCCGCGTCGGTCACGCCGACGATGGCGCCCCCGAAGGTGAGCGCAGGCTTGACCCCAGCGATATCTGACCCATGCGGCCACGATCGCGAGGGGGGGCCCTGTGGAATCGCCGAAGCACACGATGCCTCTTAACCATGTCTTGGATACGCTTGCGTCGCTTGGTGACGCGCCTCCTCTCACTGCGTCTACCCCCGGGGGCCACATCACGCCCTAAGGAGGTCACATGCGCGCCCACCTTGCCCGCCAGGATTCCGAGCCGGTCCCCGAGACGACGAGCAGCATAGGGGTCAGAGGCAAAAGTCATCAACTTGTCTGGGGCCAGGTTAACCCCGAGCTCCTGCGTGAACACTGCATGGAGGTCAGTAGCAGCGCGCGCCAGCGACTCTATGACAGAAATTATGCCCACAAGTGCTGACACTGTCGTCATCGATGCACGACGACACGTCGACGTCAGGGTTGCGCCCAACGGGGCCGTCACACGGGTCCATCGCATACACTCGAACAAAAATGTTGTTGAAGCACGAACCTGCAGGCAGCCCGCTGCCTGCGAAATTACTGTGCAGCCAGGCTGCGGTCCGCTCCGAGTCTCGAACTCCTCGGCCCTCTCCAAACATTGCAAACCATCTCGGTGATAACGGGCTGCAGCCCCGCCGGCAAACTTCTTTGCTTGAGCTTTTCCAAACTGAAGCTTTCATTGTACTTCGTGCCACCCCAAGAGAAACCAGCCGTGACCCCTCCCTTGTCCACATGGGCCTCAGCCTTCACCGCCTGGGCCCACACGCAGGCTTCCGCCGACTTCCCAGCCCCGAAGGCCCAATGCATGCGCGGGTGGGAGTCGTTCAGGGGGGTCGCAGCTTCTCCCACAACCTCACAGGGCCAGAGCATAACATAATGGGTCTCACCCCCCTTAGGTTTCTCAAGGAGGGGAATGGGCACCTAGCACAGAGCCCTGGGCAACAATCCAAGGCGTTCCGACGCCTGAAAAATGCGCGCCAGGGCGCCCAACCCCCTCGTCGGACAAGCAGTCGAACTGTCGCACATGCACCCCGCCCAGGGATTGCGCCGTGCGCGGCGAGAAGCTGCGCGCGGCGGTGCGGCTCGCATCAGCGCTGAGGCGATCTAAGCATCTACTGTCGGGGACCTCAACAGGTGGGAGGGAAAAGGTAGCGCGCCAGAAGGTACCCGCAACACCGCCCCCCTTGGCCAGCAAAACCCTCGGGTCCGACGTAAAAAATATAATAGTTTTCTCGGTGACCGTGGACCCCCATTTAGCTTTGAGACGGGTAAGACGGTGCATCTTGCGAGCTGAGCCAGAACGCTTCAGCCTGCCATTGATCCCACCCCTTTCGCCCCTTCCCTTCCAGGCCCGCCCTCGCCTCAGAGAAGCCCCCCCCCCCCCCCCCCCCACACCACCACCGCCACCGCCACCGCCGCCGCCACCACTCCTCCAAAGGCTCGGTCAGCCACGAACAAATATACATAGCACGCGCACCACGCGCGCACAATGACGATGACACGCACGCACACATCAAGAGCATGCCCCAACATCTTACACCAACACCGTAGTCCAAACGCCATGTGTTTTTTTTTGTGGCCCCCCTTCTGCGACAGAAGGTTTGAGGGGCCCTTCTGTCAAAGACCCTGGGGACGATCGAAAAAGGCAGAAAAGCGCGACGGCGGAATGGGGGATTGAGATAGAGGGCGAAGCAAGTGATGAAGGAGAGGAGGCGACGGCAGCATCGATGAGAGCACCGATGACAAAGCCGTTTGTTTCTCTCGCAACGCCGGGGCAGCGGTCGCCGAGGACGGAGGCGCGCGCGACGAGCCGTCGCTCACGATGCGCTGCAAGCTCCCCCGCTGCTGCGGACGGTCGCCTGTCGACCGATGAGGCCTCCCTCCGCTGCTGAGGGGGCGGCCTCTGCGCCATCGTTCAGTTCAATTCTGCCCGGGGGGTGTCGTCGCTTGCCGCTGCGAGAGCGAGCGCGTCGGTCGTCGGGGCGCCGCGCGCCCCGCTGTCCTGCGGCGGGGCGCCGGGCGCCCATCTCCACTCCCAGCGCCCCTGGCTCCTTTCATCGGTGACTGCGGTTATCAAGTCGTGCCAGTGGTCTCGAAACGGGTCACGCCTGTTGCGCTGCCTCGAAGATGCGGCAGCGCTCGGCGGTTGCCGCTCGCTCCAGTCGGCCCGTCTGTTGTCCCACCACCTGTTGCCCCACCATTGCCATGGCTTCTGTGGCCCCCGCTGCTGCGGGAGCTGTTGCGGCTGCTCTGGTGGTTCCTGCGGCTGACGCCGTCGAAAACATGGCCCCCGCTGCTGCGGTGGCTCGGGGGGCTGCCGCGGCGCCCACTCCTGCGGCTGCCCCAGCGGCGCAGGCCCTGGAGCTGGCCACTGCTGTCCCTGGCGCCACCTTGGGGGGGGGCGATAATTAAGCAATTGCTCCTCCTCCTCCTCCTCCTCCTCCTCCTCCTCCTCCTCATCGCCCTCCTCCCCCCCCTCCTCGCCCCCCCCCTTCCCCCTCCTCCTCCCACCCCCCCATCCTCATCCCCCTTTTCCTCTTCCTCCTCCCCCCCCCCCCCTCCCCCTCATTATCTCCCCGCCCCCCTCTCGACCCCCCGCCCCGCGACCTTGCGTCGCCGGCCGCGGGCCGACCGCGGCCATCGCCCACGGCTTCGCCTGCCCATCTGCGCCGCGGGCCAGCCGCGGCCCAACCGCAGTCCAGTTGCTGGCCGCCTTCGCGGCGCCGCTCCGGCGGCCGGCGCGCGGGCCCGCGTTGCTCTGGCGCCGCTGCTGTGGCGCCCTCGAGAGCAGCTCCTTGCTCTTCGTGGAAGCGCCCCTCCATGTTTTTGTTTTCCCTCTCTCTCTCTCTCTCTCACTCTCCTTCTCTCTCTCTCTCTCTCTCTCTCTCTCTCTCTCTCTCTCGCTCTCTCACTCTCTCTCTCTCTCTCTCTCTTTTCTCTTTCTCTCTTTCTCTCTTTCTCTCTCTCTCTCTCTCTCTCTCTCTCTCTCTCTCTGTCTCTTTCTCTTTCTCTTTCTCTTTCTCTTTCTCTT